TCATTCCTAGGCCCCAGGGGTAGCGTAAGCGGGAGTGCCGTAACGCGGGTTAATCCGACAGCGTCCCTGTCAACAAAGAGGGGTGGGCAACTCCAAACGAGGGTCGCTGCCCCACGCTGGGACCGTGCACCTTAAAGGTTTCGTCGATCGCGTCCAGATGTTGAAAAGCTCTGCTAACTCCTAGAAAAAGGCTGGACACGGGTACGTTCCTGCAAAGATGCTGCTTGCAATTCAAGTGGGAGTTTTGCGCTTAAGCTCTTGATATTCAAAAAATATCCTGACTGACATCACGTTATTCTACATCTTAAATGCCCAATACTGTATGAACAGTAGCCAAATGAACACAAGTCATTTCAGCTTTAAAGAAACAAGGTACCAGCTAAAGCAGCCCGTGTCAAGCTGCTTTATTCGGTCTCCTCTCAGACACACCTAGTTAAGCCAACTTTGGAGAATTAAAACATTCGGAAACTTCTCCCGCCTAAAAATAAGTGTTAAAAGCAACGTACGGACCAGACACACAGACCTATGAGCTGCACAGAGATCACCAATAAATATACAGAAACACCACAATAAAGGACAAGGTTCATCACAAAAGAAAAAGTCTGATAAGACCGTTACAAAAACAAAAGGGTGTATTTTTTGCAGGCATGTGCAAGCACATTACAGTGTAATCAAAGCAGAACTTTGCTATTATTATTACTTTATGCAGCATTACAAGGTTACTGAGGTGCAGTGTTTAATAGTCTAGTCTACAGCTTTTCCTGACCGGAGGAACGCTCACCAAACTCACTATGGACCCACACCCTCTTCAACCGTCAGAGTGGGGCAGCATCACCCACCCCACCAAGCTGTTCCCATCCAGAGGATCCGAACTCCCAGCGGGGAATGACAAGTCCCATTGATACACGAGCCACGCGAGGTCTGCTCACAGCAGGACTGACTCTCTCCTTTCGCTTTGTCCTCTCCATCTTTGGGAGCTTATCCACCCGAGAGCCGACATCCTTCCATAGCTACGGATGCCCTTCCAGCACCAATTCCATCATCCCAGGAGTCCCGCGCTTCTCCCTACACCGCCCCCTCCCCACCCCACATCCCCCCCTCTATGTGAAGAGGTAAATTGCATTGACTAAAAAAACTGATTCTAGCCTACCAGCTGAATTTGGTGATCGCTCCTCAATGCCTCTCCCTCCAAAGGAAAACTCCTTCCTGGTTATTCTTGGTCCTGACTCAGAGAAGCTGATGCTTGAAAGTACCTAAAAGATACCATCAAACACTTGGCATTTTCAATAATTTATCTTAAATTTTCAGCCACGTACAACCGGAAAATAAAAATCTACAGCACCATCTTCTAAAAAGGCACTTTCTGAGGACTGTCTTGCTTAAAAAAAAAAACCAACTAAAAATCACTCCAGGTTTTGAAGAGCAGAACTGCTTTGCTTTAAAAGGACCCTACGTTAGCTACCCGTGTTAGGTGAGGAGGTACCTCGGACGAGACCGGAAAAGGCCAGGGCAGGCGGGATGGAAAGTGAATGGAGCCTCTCCATCAACACCCAAGTTTCCATAAAACTGATGCTTCAGTATTTTCCCTCGCAGGCCTCTCCCTTCCAATTCCTTCCCCTCCATATGCACCTCTGCCTACTCGGGGACAATTTGGTTGTGGTTTAGTGTTACAGAGATCAGGATTCTTGAGACTTTGCTAGGGAGGTAAAACGTAGGATCCTGTACCCATTTCGTTCATACCTCAACTACTGAGAGTGCAAAATCTTCTACCAGCAGGAAGCATCCATTAGCTCGAGCTCTAATTTTCTCAGGTTTACAAAAAAACAAGTGAATTGGCTAAGTTAAGTTTAATTTAAACACGTGCCGAAACAAAAATGATATCCTAATACCCCATATCGATCTAAAGTACCATCTTTGGGTAGAAAAGACAGGAATCTTTCCCTTTGTCACCCTACAGATGTTTTCCACAGGGTCCAATCAACCAGTTGTAGCCACGGAACTCCACGGCACCGAAAGGGACAGAGCATCTGCCTGGTGTGAGCAGAAACTACGACGGCCACTGAGAAATAACCATCTCTGAAAACTGACTTTATAGCTTCAACGTACATAGTCCGAGCTTTTGATTCCTTGGTTATAAAAGTGCTTTGAGTAAGGTTCTAAAGCCTCAGTTCACAAAACTGGGAAAATATCAAAAGAGGACAAGATATGAAGAAAGTGTAAAAAATAAAAAAAGGCCTCAAGCTTTTTTAAGTGTAGGCTGAGCTTGGCATTTCACCAGAGTGAACTTCAAGACTAGTAGAAAACCAGCATTCGCAGCTGGAGTTTGTACGGAAGATGACTATCTGGTATCTTCACGTTGAGCATTTGATAGGTTAAAAATGAAGTGAAAATAGTTTAGGACCAATATCATCTTGAAATAACCTGTCTGACAACTTCCAGAAACCCATTTTACTCCCGAAAACCATTTTCACGGCCAAACAAACTTCCAAAAGGATGCCAGAATGAAGGCTATAAAAACAGCTTTTGGAGGGGTTGAACCGGATTGCAGGTGGAACAGCAAGGCAGCAATCCTGAGTAAAACGGCCACAGCTGCAGTGCCCTGCAGAGAAACCACCTCCTTACGGTGGAGTTAGTCCTCCTGCGAGCAGACGCCACAGGTTTAACCCCTCAACTACAAAACCAAAGCACTCTACTCCTCTCCAAATCCGGATCTACCGCTCGCCAGACGGCCGGTTTGGGCACGGCGCTCGCGGGTGGCACCGTACCCTAAGGCCGATACCCTAAGGCTGCCCCCTTCCCCGGCCCGGCGCTGGGGGCCTTGTGCGTGCTCCCACCACGGGAGCAATTAGTGGCACTCGTTAATTACAAGTGAGGTCTCGGTGCAGCCAACAGGAGACAGGAACCGTTTTTCTAGGCAGGCATAAAATCCGAGGCCGGTATGTCTGCAACGTAAGGAGAACCGTCAGCCTTCACCCACATCCCTCTTTGGACTATACAGAGACAGCTCCCCGCAGGACAGGGGGATCTGGAATGCCACCCAAGATTTCCCCAAACAGCACATAAAATTTGAGATTATTACTTATTTTTTTTTCTTCTTTTTTAAAGGAGAGCAGGTACAAAAATAAAAGAAATCCATATACTCTGAAAATATACTGGAAACTGCCACCACAGATGAGGTACCATTTATCCCGCCCCCCCCGCCCCCAAAACTGCAAACATCAAAATATATATGTTTTTAAACAAAGGAAGAATATCTGGCTATTTAATCTCAGGTAAAATGACAGCACCCTTTGTTACACTTGATATTTCACACCATTAATTCTCTTCTGAAAAAAACCAAGATACCTAACTAACCTTGATTCCTTGCTTATCTCCTCATTTCTTAGTGCAGTAATAGTCCATCTCCATTTAAATAAATATAGCAGCTACAGCATCATAAACGTGTGGCCCTCACAACGCCAGTAACTCGATATCGTAATACAAAGAAGTATCGGCACTTTACGTAGATATTTGCAAACCCAAGAACGGAGATTAAAACGTCCAAATACTCTTCACATGAAAACCAGGTAAAAAGCAAGCTCGGCAAGGAATTTAAAGTCACTTTCTCAATGGAGTGTCTTTATTTTCTGGTGAAAGTAGCAAGCAGAGAAAAAAAGCTTCTCAAATCATAGTCAGCGTGGGCAGGATGAGCAGCATACGGTATCTTGGAAAGGAGACTTTTTGAGACGGAATTTTCATCTAAATGCCAGAAATCCACAAGAAGTCTTTGTTTTTTAAAAAATTCCCTATTTTAAAACCACCTGAACCTTTTACAAACAGAACTACTGGCTAGAGTGCTCCTAAAGCACGGCGGTGAGGCACTGGGACAGGTTGCCCAGAGAAGCTGTGGATGCCCCATCCCTGGGAGTGTCCACGGCCAGGCTGGATGAGGCTTGGAGCAACCTGGGCTATGGAAGGTGTCCCTGCCCGTGGCAGGGGGTGGGACTGGGTGGGCTTTAAGGTCCCTTACAGCCCAAACCATCTGTAACTCTATGATTCTGTGACTCTAAGAGAAAACTGCCAGGTCACAGGTTAAGAAAAGTGTTCAAGAGACTTGTTTGGAAACTGTTTGCTCAAATATTTCATTTCACACACCCCCCACTGTCAGCAGGGTTATCTGCCAGTGCTGAAAGGTGGGTGCACGCAGCCAAGGAGCGTGGCCGGGCCGGGGCTGGGCCTACAGCCAAAGGCACGCGGCTCCCCGACACCTTGGGGTCTGCCCAGTCTCCGCGATCACCCCCCGGCCACCAGCCGACTGCCCAACATCACGACTATTTCCAGTGCAATTTTAGCTTTGCAGAGTCAATCTTTTTACTTCACCTCCCCTGATATTGGGCGATAAAATATGTACGTACAGGAGCGGTTTCGCGAAGCTCTTTGAGAGAGTGTTGTGAAGAGCGCTACCTACGCCTCAGCACACGGCACAGACGCACAAAATACAGTACTTGGTTTTCTGGCAGAAAAAAAACCCGTGGGAGATTCATGCCTGTTGAAGCAAAACGGGCTCAGATTTTAGGCTCAAAATACAGTATGTTGGCAAACAGAGGGTTTCATGAGAAGGACAGGAGGTAAGCTACTTACACCAACCCACTGGTTTTCATGTGGAGAGCAGGTGGAGTTCAGGAGGGCTGGGATAACAGCAATGCCCATACGAACGATCTGCAGTATACATACTATGAACCAGTGCAAATAAAAACAGTCAAAAATGCAGTTCACGAGTTTACAAAGTGCAAAACTCCCCAGTCCCCTCACTGAATAAATGCTCGTCTCTGACATCTTAAATATTGTTCTACCTTTAAAGTGGAATGAAAGAGTCCCATTACTTTGTTTCACATTTCAGTGATCTAACATGTTAGAACTATCCCAGCCCTCTTTATCTGCAAAGTGAAATGAAGTTACCAATAACTTAATTTTAAAAGGAAAGTCGTTATCAAAGAGGAAAAAAGCCTAAAAACTTTTATTAATTCCAGACATTTTGCTGATGTCAGATTTAACTAAGCATGTAAAAACTTAGATCTTAATAAAAAACTCTTCCCATTGAATTCAAATATCCTCCACACGTCGAAGCCGAAAATAAGGCCCATTCCTTTGTTAAATCAAAACGCTGCAGTGACAAGTAAAGCTTGCAGAATTCTAGAAGCATTTTTGCTATTTTTTGATTTAAAAAAGGAAAAGTCAAGATTCCTTCTGACTATAAAACTTTCCTTTCAAAATTAAGGCTTTTACTTTGTCCTTTTAAAATCATGGAGGTGTCCATTCTTCCACAGTTAGTGGTACAAACACTGCTTTAGTACAGCTCAATGGACACAGTTTTCCTTTAGAACGCTTATTGCACTAAAAGATAGCAAAACAAGTTGTCAGTTTTTTTCTTTTAAAATAAACATGGTTACATTTCTAAAAAATAAAAGTTGATGTTGACCATATGTTCTGTAATAATTAAATTAAAGCATTATTATTACTCTAATAAATATAAAAGAAACAAAAGGAAGCTAAACTTCAAAAACACATACATATGAAATCACATTAAGGTGTGAGAGGCAGCAAGTAAACTAGCATTTTGCCTTTTTTTTTTTTCCCCAAAAAGACCTTAGCGCTAAAGTTTCAGTTCTGGTGTTTACTGTACGTAATCCCCTACAACTTGGGATATCTGATCTCACGTGAAGCTTCAACATATTGGACTTGCCAGACAGAAAATAATTGAAACTTTTGGACTAGGTGAAACAGCAGCTTTAGTAAATTCACCAGGGAGCAAGAAGAGTTTGGATCACTACTGCCTGCACGTAATCCCGCTACTTTCTGTCTGCTTTTTAAAAGGGAACTATTGGAGCCGGGAACTCCAAAGCTGTGAGGAAAGACACAAAGGCAGCAGTTGGCTAAATCATATTCAGATTATTGGATCGGTGTGCAAAACATCTTCCCCCTCCGCTGAATTTTTTTCTAGCTCGTGCCGTACATTCAAACGTGCTTGGATATGTTCACACCCGAATGCTCAAGGGCAAACAGCGAGGGAAAGACTCCTCAACGCAACGGGGTAAAAACCTTAACTGTTTTTCTGGTTTTGCACACTTCCACCCCCTAAACAACCACTGTGATTGTTGCTGCAAGGGTGGTTTGCCTGTTATTTTTTAAATTACATGATGGATATTTTTAAATTTCGTCACGATTATTTTTTTTTTGCAAAGACAGTTGTGCTGCCGAGCAACTTGAGGTAAAGGCATAAGAGGGTTAAACTACGAGAAGTAAAATAAAAGTAAAACCCAAAAGAATGATGGCGGTGCTTCCTGCAGGAGACTGCGCCAAAAAAAGCAGTTGGCTGGTTTCATATTGCATAATAGTGCTGTGTTCCTCGATGAAGTAAACAATCTTCCTTGTGTCAATTTAAGGGTGAGCCTCTCGCCCCTGCACAGTGTCAACTTCCGCACGATCGGAGGCACACCCCATAAACCAACCCCACTGGAAACATACATTGTATGTGGCTTAATTTTTCAGTTCTTCCTCTCGGCGAGTACGCTCCCGTTTTATTGACTTAAGCGAAGTACATCGTGCGTAAGGTGTCTTGGTGAATTTGTACGGCCTTCGCCAGGGCCTGCGGATCTCTCCCATTGCTCTGTCCCGAAACGTGGCTTCCTTCAGCACTGCAAGGAGACCAGACAAACAGGCAGGGCTGTAAAGCGTAGCGATTGGGATCAAAAGCCGCCCTTGCACCTCCTCAGCGCTCTGGAGGGCAACACGGCAATAGCAGTAGCACTGGATACTGAGAAAAACCGACTTGTCTATTCACCCAGCAACCTCAAGGCTTTTGACAAATCCCTTTACCTCAGCTGCTCCATTTGTTCACCTAAAAATAAGCCTGTTACAAATATATTGACGGCTTGAAGGTTATACAATGCTTGTGACGTGCAGAGTTAGGTAAGTGGAAGGCACTTGACATTCGCTTCATTCGTGACTCCTCCAATTCTAAAGCAAAACACTAAATGAATGGCTTGATTCCCTCAGACCACGTCAAAGTAACAGCCCAGTAGTCTTAAACTGAACTTCATTCTCGATATCGGGGTGTAATTCAGCAGAACCCACCAAACCCACTCTTGTCTGACACTGAGCAGCAGCTGTCAGGAACAATTCTCTTCAGATTAGTCCCAAAAGTAACAAAAGTTAACTGTAAAACAAGCACTAATTACCTGTACTCAGGCGGTTTGATGCCTGACAACGGAGCAAAGACCAACGGGGACAAAAGCTTAAGCCCACATTTTCATTTACCTGTCATGTTCTTTGTCCACAAGATGGTATCGTGCTCTGAACGCTACCAGGTGAGCGTAGTACGCTGGTGCGGGTATAGAAACCGACCGCGTGCAGCGCACGTACGTATGGCAGAGCTGGTAAGTCAGCAGCTGGAGTTCATCTGCAGTAAAACAGTTATCATCCCACAAAACATGATAGTGTGAGGGACGGCTGGTACCCTACGAAGAAGGGAACACCAATTCACTTATCTGGCTTTTCCATACAATCAAGTCAGATTTTTAAGTTCAGAAAGGACCAGACTACCTGGTCTGAACCCCTAGGTAACAGCAGTCAGAGAAAATTCAGTCTTACATTAGCCCTAGACACACTTAAAGATAAAAAGAAGTCCAACACGTACGTGATTACCTTACTCTAATTATTCTTCCTTGGAAAAAAACCCCACATGCCTTCTAGATAACCCTCAACGATCAAAACCTGCTCCCAGCATGGCTAAATCACGACTACACCACCTCTCAACCACCTTCAATTAAACCTGTTTCTCACCAAGACACATTTCCCAGAGAAGTAACTGCTGCTTTTAACTCCTTCCAATTCCTTAGCGCCTGAACTTCAAATGGGAACACTAGAAACGGTTCCAGTCTTTCAGAGGGCACCGGGTTAAGCACAAACCCACACCCTTCCTTCCACTCAATGCCGTATCTCCTACAGCGTCAAGACCTGAGCTGCTCCGGGCACGACACCGAGTCAGGTTTTTACACGTCACTCGTGTCAAGGTTCCCCCCAGGCACACGCTGACTTCACCGTCACAACCCGAACGTTTCCTTCACACCATTAACAAGTACCAAAACACCAAGTTCTTCGAAACTCGTGGAAGCTCTCTATGAAGTGACTGTCTTGCACTTGCTTGGAAGGTCACTTTTGGAGTGAACTCTCCTCTTTCCTCCTGCTTCCCCCCCAAAGGGTGTGATGCACTGGAGTTAACTCTTCCAGTGTAACTGAATTAGGTCAATAGTTGCATTTGAGCAAGGATAGAAGTCTCTGGGTTTTTTAAATATATAAAATACCAATTTAGTTGAGAGCCTGTGGCTTGCTGCATTCTAAACAATGAGCTGCAGCTCCATCTGGCACTTCTGTTCAACTCATATGGCCGCTATTGTTTTTCCAAGCTGGCCCAGACACAGCACAAAGCTACACGTCTAAGTGCAGAAAAGCAGCAGAAGTTCTGAAGTCCCGAATGAAAACCACTGCAGCGATTCAAAACTGGAAAAGAAAACATGCCCACCCAACCTAAACAGAATTTAGGACAATGTGGTCGGCACACATGATAAAAATTTAAATAATTCATTTTTTTCCATTTTTAAGCAGTGTTTTTGTCACTGAGTCTCCACTGCGTTGCTGGCCATACCACCACATCAGTGGATTTGATTTCCACAGCCTGTCATTTACTAGTCTGCATTCAGTCAGCAAATCACCCAAACGTTGCCTTCGGCCTTGCAAACCGTTTACATCTGAAATCTCGATTCGGGGTTCCTGTCACTGTGGCTATATATCACAAAAGTAGCAAGTTTTCTTTTCAGAAATAACAAAGGTACAAAATAAAGCGACTTCTTTAAAATAAACTTTTAAAAGCATGACTTGCCACCAACGCAAGTTTTAAAGGTGTAGCAGAGATCACCTCTTAAGCAAACGCTACTGTTAGTCCCACAGTAATGTGGTATCTCAGATAAACCCGAGCTAAACGACATTTCCCTACCAAACAACTGTTTGTAAACACAAGCACCACAAAAGAAAGACAACCAACGTGTTCTAATTTCACATCTTCTTACAAAGAAATCATCGTACCTGTATTCCAGCGTGGCTACAGAGGTAAAAATCAAACTCATATGGATGTGTAATGTCTGTATCTACAGTTGTTCCAGCTGGAATATTACCACTTCGTCCAACCTGGAGAAAAAGGTTTTGTTAAAAGCGCAGGTAACAACTGTTTACACATCTCAACCGCAATTCAAAACAGTGGTTTCTATTCAGCACACGCAAGGTTTCAGTGACTGAACTGCCCCAGGACTGTGCAGAGTGCGACGACACGGCAGCCTAAGATGTCTGACATGGACACCTACTACCTCAGAACCCAATACCGCACCCACAGCACTCCAGAATTTTCCATCTCAGAGACAGGAGAGCTGCACATACGTTCATATTTAGAATCATCAGCTTGAGTCTGGATCAGCTCACTGAGAAGAACAGGAAAGTTAGGGGTTCCACAGTCTCGTACTTTCTTGCACAGCGATCGCCGCAGCCACAGTCCCAGTCAGTCACACGGGCATTAGCACAGTCCACGGACAAAGACGAGCACCCACGTGCAACGTGACAAAGGCGGATGGGGATTTTTTTTATTTTAACATACTTAAGCTCAACGATTTTTCAGTCTGGGGCCACACTTTGTGCCTATGGATTCAGCATCTCCCCTGAATGCACAGACCATCAGACTGACAAGGAAGCCCACGCTAACACTTTCTCCAGCAGCGTGGGTGCTTGATGTCAAGCTTTTCACATAAGGCTACTACGAGAGAGGGCAACAATTACCCTTTCTGTTCTGTCAGCGCAGAACAATCGTGTATGATGTCGCTTCTGCACCACAATATAGGTTATTCCAGGCTGGTAATCTTTCTCCAAACTGATGCAGGCTTCTCTAATGGCTAGCAGTTCATAATACAAAACCTACGAGCACAAAAAGAAGAGTTTAGGTTTTCCTTCCATTGTATTCTACACACAACACCTCATAAACGGTTTGTAGTTAACAATGAGCACAACTTTACCAGAGTTAGCAGTCTTAGGAAGTGCTTAGAAATACATTGTTTCCCAAATTCTAAGACCTTTCCTTCCCAGACAGGAAAGAAGTTGCAACTTCTCTTACCCAACATGCTTAAGAAAGCCTCTCCTCCTTGAAAGTCTCAATCATTTTGTGGTATCTTGGCATAAACATAAGCAACTCAAGCAGCACAGCTTCTTCAAATAGGAGAACCGGAACTGTTACGCAGCAACACAGCCCTTCAAGAACCCCCCGGTGAACCAACCTGACGAAACTGTCCTTCAGAGACCCCGTCCCTGTAGAAGATGATACGCGTGGGCTTGAACCGTGTTGACTTGTAGAACTGGATGAGCAGCTCCCTCACCATGGAGGCTAGATCTTGGATGATTTCCTGCCGGGGTCGCTGAACTCTCACCGTGGCACAGTACCGGCTCGGATGAGCATCCATACTACCTACAACCTTCAGGGGAAGATTACATGAGTAAGGCTTACAACATCAAATCTATACCAGAAAAAGAAAAGTTAGAATAGCAAAACGAACCCAAGAAGAGCAATTTTCAAGTAAAAGATGCTGACGTTAAAACAGCCAGCATAGTAACATTTAACTGGAACTTGGAGCAGGTACAGGTTCAACACCTTTTGAAAAGAAGTGTACAACTTGCCCTCCAAGCACCCCCAGACACAACTGCAGAGCTGGAGCCTTCCCCTCTGCTGACAGCACGCTACATGCTTATTCTTATAATCCCAACACAGGCTTTTTTCTCTGAAGTTCTCACCTTTTACACAGAGAAACACTTCAGTTTGCTTTAGTTACTTTAAACAAGGATGCAGTAACTGCCATCAGTACCAAGTAAAATACCAAGGGGATAAAATAGGAAGGGACTGACCAAGCATCCAACCACCACCTTGATCTCCTGGACCGTACCAACACAAAAGGGAAGAAGTATCAACACCATTCTGGCTAAATCAGGCCTTTAATTACATTTTTCTCCATTAAAAATACAACCAACACCACGAAGCTGGATTATTTCCTTTAGAAGATATTTTGCAGAAATATATTATTTAATGTGATGGCCGTCTTACCTTGATTTAAAAATGAAAAAGCTAAGAAAAGAGTCTGAAGTATTAAGTGGCGTTTTTCTTCTAAAGACACGATTTTTAATAACGCTGGAAATGTGCACTAAGAGCTGGCATAAGCCCTGGAAGATACTTGTCACAGACATAGCCCCCCAGTTGCATTTGCTGCTCCAACATTTACCCGGGATGAAAACCACAATGCTGATTTAGAAAACTTACAGCCGCTATGGAAGGCTTCTTTCCATCTCCAGCAGGAGGGTGCGTGACATCGGCTCCCAAAAAGATCACTGGCTGCTGGAACACAGAAGGTCTTCAAAAAGAAAAAAGTGCTAAGTCACACGTGTCGATGAAGAGTTGGCGCAAGGTTATTGCTCAGGACGGGGGGTTGTTTCCCGCTAGGCTGCGGGGAGAAGCCTTATCAGGTCCCTCCAGCCAAACATAACCAGTGACACCTTTGTGCACCAGAGGTGAACTTTGGAACCACCACAGCCGCCCTCCCGAAAGGCACTGCCGCGTAACCCCAGCACGGCAGCAGCGGAGAAAAGCCGCGGCGCAAGAGCTGAAGGGCACAGCTTCTCACAGAAAGCGCCACTCTTAGGGGGCGATTGCACCAGGGCTTGGAGACCAGCTGAGCACCACTCCGGTGCTGCCTCAGCCACGCAGCAAACAGCTGGGTACGGCACCACACGGACTGTGCTGCCTTACAGGATTTAAGCAGCAGGATGGTCTCCCAGCGCTTTCAAAATCATACTCTTCCATGCACCACTGCTTCAGGTTCAAACTTGGATTCCACGCTGGAAGTCTCAGGAAAGAATCCTTATGATTTGCACTCTCAAGGCTTCTCTGTCTTGCTACCCTGCATTATGCCTATGTCCGCTCACAGAACAGAGATTCTCTAGTAAAGGTTAGGGTCAACCAGAATTTTCAGTCTTCAGGACCAAGAGACTCGTGTTCTCCAGAAAGACGGGAGCACACACGGGTTGGACTTGTCAAACCTCCTCACTGAAGGCAAAGCAACTGGAACACACGTGGAAAGGGAGAACAGCCACCCAGAGAACAAGCCTGAGCTCAATTAACAGCCTGTAACAGTGAGAAGATGCTCCCACTATCTTCTACCCTTATTAACAGCACACTGACAGGTCAACCAAGAGTTGCACTGTGCCGCGTGTGCTTCTAGACTGCAGAAAAATTCAGACTATATTCATATCTCAAAAAACCCTAGATTTGCACGTTCTCTTCAGGTTTTTGATACTGATCAAACGTTTGGAAAGAACCTTGGCGTAAGACCTGACTCCCAGAGCAGCAACCACTCAGAGCCCCGTGCTAGACAAAAATGAATTCTACCTCGAGCATCACATACTATTGTCAGAAGAAAATTTCAACTTCAAACGTGGCCACGTTTAAATCCTGGGCGCTAACCACACCTATCAAAACCCGAATCAGCCTGCGCGAAGAGTCTTACCGTTGATGAGGTACAAGGATGTTGTTGATCCCTCCTAGTTTAACATTAATCTTCAGGCACAGATTTGATAGGGTCTGTGGAGATGTTTTAATGACGTTCTTGACTTGAACACACTGTGTGGCCATTCCCAAGAGCGTGTCTCCCACACGCTTCACCTCCGCTGAGGAGCAAATATTGGGACACAACTTGAGTCCATTTGAAATTATTGTTATATTTTGATCTCTGCTTAAGTCACAAGAATTTAAATGCACGCAGCCTGCAAAATAACTTCCAACTTATCTGCATGCTCAGACCTGCTTCCAACACATTTTATCTTCAGAGACAAAACAATGGTTTCTCACGCCTAAAGAATGGCCCTGAAGAATTTTCTAACATATGCTGGGCAGCAAATTTCTCAGAACGAAACCCGACCAAGGTAAAGACAAAGATATTCCCCTACCGTACACCGGTGTTTTCCCTGGCAGGATGACAATGATGAGCTGAAGCCCCGAATAGGTGTTCTTGAGGTGTCGAAACATGGGCTCCACGCTGTCTGCACCCTGGGCGTATTTGCAGAAACAGGGCTGGCCTTGGATCGGCATCCCTGCGTCCTTCGAGATCTTGCGCAGCTGGTCCGTGAAACCCCTAAAGATGGGAAGTTTGTTGAATTTTTGCAGGAGCAATAGCACACAACAACCAAAGCAGAAGGAGACAGAAGCGTGTTACTCAGATGAAGACAACTCCAAATAGCTTTCAAAGCAGCATTTTAAAAACGTGCATTATGTGGAGGCTGTACAGTTTTGAAACATCACGGGCCAGAATGGTGAAAAAAGGGTTTAGGCACCTTTAGTCCTTCAGTGAAAATGCCAGAAGGAACTACATACAGAGCAGTAATGTCACAGGACCAAAACCCCACGGTGCGCCCAGGTACAGCGTCTTGATTGTAGCTTCCAGCAAAGAAGCAAACCAGCTTGGACTCTCTCCCTAACATCTTAGATGATTAAAACCAGGTAAAACCCTCATTAGAGCCCTGTGTTCATGCTTTCACTAAGACAGCTTCATTAAAATAGCAGTCCAGAGCCTGAACCGTGACATGCCTTACTTCAGTATTTCTTCTCTGCATTGCCTCTGTGTTGCAAAGCAAGCTATAGCCCACATTTTGATCTCCACACCAGTGTGAAACTGCTTCCCTCGCATGTCCCACACCCCATGGCTCGGGGTTGCCACCGTTCGATTCTGTGGGAACAAAAGTAACAGGTACTCAGGTGACCGAAGAAGAAAAAGCCTGTGCTATTTTCAGGGTCAGGATAACAAAAACCAGTTTTCCATTCAAACTCTGATCTCTGTATTGCACAGTGTAACCGAACTGACTGAGGTCATCAATGTGCATGGGACATCACTCCTCAAAACAGAAAAAAAGGCAAAAAGCTCACCCGTCCTCCATACTGCAACATCGGAGCCGGGAGCACGCGCCCTGTCACGTGGGCCATCTCATCCCGGACTTTGAACTGGAACTCTTGAACAAACGGATCCGCATCGTAATTTGCACTTCTCACCTACAAGAGTTTTCCCAAATTACAGAGGTATCTAATCATCAGCCATACAACAAACAAGAGACACACAGGAGTGCTGCAGGGGCGTTCAACAATTCCCCTTCTCATTGAAAAATGAACAGATTTGACTTCGACGCTATCGACTCCCCCCAGTAAAACAAATCATACCATGAGATCTACTGGATGAGATGGGTTTTTGTTCTCTTAGTTACTCAAGTGCTCGTTTGTAGTATGCTCATTCAAAAGCATTTTGTTTTACTCAAAGGGTAGATGAAAAAGCATTCTCCTTTAGAGACAAGCAAACCCACGGTTGAGCAAATTAAAAGATTGGGTTGGTGGCATAAGAAGTCTCTGGATTAATGTAGTCTGTAGGCCAGCATCACACCAAACTGAACTTAAAGAACTAACCAATCTGCTTATTTCCTCCTGCCTGTCTGGAGCAGATCTCGCTGTGGCCTTTATCATAGTCGATGTCTGATTGTCCGTCAGCTTCTTGATACACCGCTGGCCAGCCACGATGTTACACACCTGCAAGGAGAATCAGAAGCCTCAATACACAACAGGAGCACTTCAAAGCAGATCCCAATGTACTGCACACACGCAATACTATCACTGTTGAACACACACACTCCCTCACGATGTGTTGTAAGCTGCTGCATATTTTCTTTCTCATAGTTCTAAACTTTAAATCACTTCAAAAAAATTCAGACAGTCTTCAGTGAAATAAAAGAATAATGAACATGTAAATACGTAAACATGTTTGCACTGCAGAGTGCACTGCTTAGAACCACAGGATGGTTTGGGTTGGAAGGGACCTTAAAGATCATTTAGTCCCACCCCCCCTGCCATGGGCAGGGACCCCTTCCACCAGACCAGGTTGCTCCAAGCCTCCTCCAGCCTGGCCTTGGACACTCCCAGGGATGGGGCATCCACAGCTTCTCTGGGAACCTGTCCCAGTGCTCCCCACCCTCTGCGGGAAGAATTCCTTCCTGATGTCCCATCTCCATCTCCCTCTTTCCATTTAAACCTGTTACCCCTTGTCCTGTCACTCCTTGCCCTTGGGAAAGTCCCCCCCAGCTTCCTTGTAGCTCCCCCAGGCACTGGAAGGGGCTCTCAGGGCTACCCGGAGCTTCCCTTCTCCAGGCTGAACCCCGCAACTCTCCCAGCCTGTCCCATGGCAGAGGGGCTCCAGCCCTTGGAGCATCTCCGTGGCCTTCTCTGGACTCGTTTACTTCTCAATGATTTGCAAATGATACAGCCAACCAATAACGAGCTGATTTATCAGAGTAAGTTCATTACTTCTAAAGGCAGGTAGGTGTGTTTCTGTTCTTGTCCAACTTGTAGGCAAGGAAGATGAGGGTATTTCAGCTGGAGGTTGTATTTCTCTCTGAAATACTGTGCTACTGTTCTCTCCACAGTCTGGCCATTTTCTAACTGTAAAGGAAAGCTGAAAAGACACACATCTTAATAAAATGTACAGAAACCTCAGTTGGCAATTATCAACATCCCCTAAACTAATACAGTATTAGGAACTGTTACATAGTGTTAGGCTATCACACATTTTAGGCTCTGACAGAAAGCATCTTACGTTTGATGACTTGCAGGCCGCCTCGTTACGTTACAAACCCGGTACTTCCTTCTCATCGTTCCACAGTGAGTCACTTCTACCTTTAGACCTGCACAAAAGTACCAAAACCCCTGCTGTCACAACTACACACAAATATGCACAGGAGACACGAGGTCCTTTAGAACAGAACACGTTCAAATGCAACAGCTTTGATGGTCAGCAAACAGCACAAGGTCAGAAATCATTATTCTCTAAACGTTTTGATTTCGTTATAATTTGATTTCTGTAGCAGGTATTCTCCTTGAACGCAAATCACAATGTAGAATATTTAAAGTTCCATGTAATCTGAATTTCTTGTAGCAGTGTCATTTGACAGGCATGTGACTGATCTCAGACAGATGGCTGTTTTCACCATCTTCTTTTGTTCCCATTCTCAGTGCTGTATACCTCTTAAAACCAGCAGTTGCAACATAACTGAAATTAAAAAAGGGCAAAACTAGATTTCTTCCTTGTTGTTCATTCCCCTCCCAGCTTCGTGGCCACATTCAGCCTGTAATTTTCTTTAATTTCACTGACAAAGTTTAATAGTCGATTTTGAGCAGCTGGAGATCTCGTCTGAAAGCATCCAGCCCACGCACCAGCAGCTCACCAGACTTGACTCTGTCTAAAATAATAATGGCACCACCACCAGCAGTTTCCAGAGGCTTCCAGTGGCTATTTTTCTTAGCTGTGCATGCACTGTCTGTACTGGACACAGACTCAACATCTGCTCGCAGCACTGAGCTTATCACACAAGAGCTGCACAGCATCCACACGCTGTTGTGTCCTTCCCTAACCCCATGGAAGAAAAGGCATTTGAAAACAGAACTTTGTTATCCAAAATTGCAGATGTTGTGGATGCCCCATCCCTGGATGTCTTCAAGATGAAAAGATTCGGCCCACAGTCGGTGAGCAAAGGCTTTTGAGAAGGCAGTTGGATTCCTGC